AATAAAACATAACCATTTCAAAACATATTTGAACCCCACTGAGTTCAGATTGTTGAGTACACCCTTTAAATACTGTTGGATGCCTACTCAACAACCATAATCCCTTTTCTCCTTTATGACAAATTAATTTTATTCCAATGTGACCCTGCTCGTGGCCACATTTCAGGGAACGCAAGGCCCAACTAGGGATGAATGGCAACCAGTCAAAGCCAATCAGAATGATCCTGTTTCCAATGGTAAAGACTGCTTCGTGTGTCACAGAAAAATGTGATGCAAAAAGGAAAAGTTGCTATAAAGACGTTAGAAATGAAAGAAGCATGGAAGATACAGAGACACTCAAACACCAGCAGGAGTTGTTTGTTCAGGCAGGAGCCCTGTAGAGGGGGACCCCAGCAAGAGAGCTAGAGCCCACTGCCACACACAGGCTTGGGCTAGATATAGGGGGCTAGTGGAAAAGTACCAGGAAGGTCACTAAGGGATACCGTTGCTGGGCAACCAAGAAAGATAAGTTGTGGTTAGGTTGTCCTTGATGTTAAAATGTAACACAGGAAAAAAAGGGTCATTTTTCTGTCTCTAGACATTGTGAGGAGTAGCAGCATCCAGCTTGTTTTCGGAAGGGAAATAGACAAGGCTCTTGAACAATGTTATGGTTTGAATCTGAAATGTCCCAAAGGCTCATGCGTTGAAGGCTTGGAGAGGTGATTGGATCATGAGCTTGCTAACCTCCCTTCACCTCTTCCACTGTGGATAAGCCATTTTTATTGAGGAAGAGGTCCTCTGGCCTCCAGTGTGTTATGCCTCCAACCACCGTGATGTAGGATGACCCCTCTCACAGCCTTTGGTCCTCACGCTAGAAGATAACCCCACAGACCAGAGGTATGGACCCAAAGCTTCCAAATTGGATATTGTATATTTAGTTTGAGGAGTGGTTTCCGGGGACTTTTACAGTAGAGAATACTGCCTCAGTTCCATGGGTGGGTGAATGACCATGAGGCAGGCCAGCATAGCTGACCCATCTGGCTCTCACACCCATGGCCACTTATTCACTGAGCAGCCCATGTGCAATACTACCAAGAACCCATCCTCCTCCCAACTGAGTATTTCCACAGAGTATTTTCAAGCCTGGCTCAGATCTTCCTGCAGAGGAACCAGACATGACTGGAATGGACATGTCAGTGATGGACCCTAAAGATGGAATTAGAAGGCTCACTCAGGAAGAACTGCTTGAGTCTGCTAGAAATAAGGAAAAAGCTGTTTTTACTAATCTCTGCTCCAGGGTCCTATAAAAGTAGGATCTTCCAGCAATTATCCCAGTTGCTGACTCTCCTGAACACTTCACTCCTGCGTCTCTATTATGGACCTCTTCTCTTTGGCTCTGTTTACCCTCTGAACTCCCTGGCAATGAATTATTTTCCTCCTTGTTTTATTCACAGACTTCCTTACTGCTCCTATGGATGAGATGAGATCTGGGAAGTGTTTGGAGGCAGAAATACTGATTTCCCAAGAGACTCAACAGATACATGGGAAATAGCACAGAATATGTGAGATTAGGTTCCACTGTGAAACCAAGGGTGTATGGCCCCTATAGTGTGAAGTTGACACTGGTGATGCTTGGAGTAGAGGGTAGGGTAGGGTGGGGCATTATGGGAAGAGCCAAATAGTTCAGGGTTCAAATACCATGCCAAATGGCATCTATGTCACTTTAGTAAATTTACTTGACCTCCCTGAACCTCAGCTTTCCCAGTCTGTCAGAGGCTATCAATACTAACCTGCAGGTTTTTGTGAGGGTTAAATAATACATATTTGGCTAAAATCAGACCTCAGAGAATGTTGTTCTCCTCCTTCATCTCATTCTCTCCAGCCCCCACTTCTCCAGACCAGCAGCCACCATGGTGATAGCACACACACACTCAAAACAACAAATAGACTCTTGAGCTTTTACTTAGAAACCCATTCTTTCAGCCTCTAAGGTCATGGAATCCTCAAAACCTCTGCATCAGAATTGCCTGGATGATGGTTTTTAAATACAGATTCCTGGGCAAAATATCAGACCTGCTACAGGGAGAGGAAAGAAGTTTCAAAGAAACTCCCCAGATGATTCTGGCATACACTAAAGTTTGAGAATAGACACCTTATGCTGTTCTCCTTCTTAAAATGAAAATTTCCCAAGAAGTTTTCTACCCCAACCCAAGGACTGTTAGAACCTGGAACAGGAATCCTAGAGATCCTTGGAGAACCATCTGGACCCTCTCTCTCCTTGGCAAGGAGGAGCTGGAGGCCCAGAGAAGGGAATAGCTGGGCCAGACCCACACAGTGAAGTAGTGGCAGAGCTGAAAATCGAATGCAGGTGCCCTGACTGAAAGCTAATGTCTTCAGATGGAAAAGCTTTTTCCAGTTTATATGTCTCACTCAAGTTACATCCAGTGATGGAGGGAAGGAAGAAAGAGCAGGAGCTCTCAGAAGGCCTCTTGGAGTACTGGGCAGGGTACAGGCATAGCTGGGCTGTGGGCCCCTCCAATGGCTCTGCTGAGTTGTATTATCAGAACCCGATGTCCAGGAGCACCTCTGGGGATGGGTCTTCACATCTCTTTGTCTCCATGTTGACCTCTCTCTATACTTCCACCTTTCCTCTTCTACTGTTTTTTTTATCTCTGACTTTCTTTTTTTCTTTGCTTCTCTGTTTCAGAATTCTCTGAGAAGGACCTCATTAACTTGGTTAGGAACCATCCAATACAGGCAGCTCTCTCACCCAGAAGCCACTGTCTTCCTTATGTTCAGCCTGTTGATGGTTACCTCTAAATAAAGCCTGTTGGCTGCATACACAACAGCTGTAACTCTCTTTCTCTTTGCTGACAGATTGACTTTTTTACCATGTAACCCTCCTGTATTTCATGGAAGACAAGGACTGGTCAAACAACAAAGTCACCTAACCCAACGTCTGACATCTTGTGTGCAAAAACCTCTACGGCCTCTTTTCTCAAGAGGGAGCTAGAGGTATGGCAGACACATGACCACTTATACAATCTAACTTTCCCTTACAGCTGAATCTTAACTGAGCACACCAAATGAGAATGGGCTCTTAGAAGGCAGCTCGGGAAGGGTGGAAATCAAGTCCTAGCTTTTCATGCTTGCCTGGAGAGTTAAGAGCCAGATTTAGCAAATAAATACAGAACACTAAGCTAAATGTGAGTTCAGATGTATAAGAAATGTGTTTATGTCTAATATTTGACACATACTCATACTAAAAAATTTTCATTGTTTATATGAAATTCACATCTAACTGAGTGACTTATATTTTATCTGGTATCCTTACCTGAGAGAACTGGAACAAAGTCTGTTTTATTCTATGTTGAGCTCCAGCTCCCAAATAGAGAGCCTGCTATATAGTATACATTCAATACATTCTTGTTGAAATACTTATTTATTGAAGGCCTCTCAGAGGTCCCTACACACCCACGCACTGCATGTACACACTAAGGAGATACTTCATTGGGAAATCATATCCTCCAGCTCTGAACAAGCAAACTGACTCATTCAACAAAACCAATCTGGCAATTGTTGAGATCTATGCTAAATAAATTGAGATTTAGAGATAAACAACTATGGCTCCCGTCTTCAAAATGGTAATTAACCAGTAAGACCAATATATTTCAAATCGCATAGTTAGCAACAGAATGTGATGAGTGCTACATAATAAAGGCCATAGGGCCAGGGACCAGGCGATTTTTTCCACCATTATATCCCTAAAATTTGTAAATGGCAAATACTCAATAAATAGTAGTAGAATGTAATAACGAAAACATGATGGAGTCACAGAGGTAAGATGACTTACCAAGGGAGTATGGTGAGGAAGTTGGTTCACTCCCGAGGAAGTTTAGGTCTGAGTCATGATGTAGGAATATACAAGGCAGATGGAGAGGAAAGGGCATTCCTGACAGAGGAATAGCATGAACCCAGGTCTAGCACTCCAGTGAGTAGGGAACAGCTAGACAGAGGTTAAAATAAAAAAGGAAATGTAGAGAGCTGAGGAGTCTGGACTTTATCCTATGGTTGAGGGATAATCATTAAAGACTTTCAAGTAAAGAAGTGGTATAAACTTCTGGAGATCCCTCCATCATTAACGTGGAGGAGGATCTGTGATGGGGTCAAACTGGAGGCCAGAAGAACAGTAAAACACGGCTAAAATAGCCCATCCTGGAGATGATGGGGGCTCAACTGGTGGATTTTTAGGTATATTAGGAAATAAGTTTGCAGAGCTGAAGTCCTATCCTTGTGGACTCACTGTGAATGTCCTGTCCTGCTCCTAAGCGCCCTGGGCTATGAGAGGGGAGACTGCTGGTAAGAGGGGGAAATCAGGGAGGAAGTGGAGGTGGGATGTAGCCCAAGACAAACTTCCTCGACTTCATCATCTTGCCTAAGGAGTGAGCTGTGTGCAGCAATTAGAGGACAACTGCCAGCCCTGGGGCTCTCCTCTCCCAGAGGGAAGGACTCACAACAGTTAACACAGCCCAAGGCTTTCTGTGGTCTACAGGCCAGAACTCATCCTCAGTGAGCCCCACCCATGCCCAGAAAGCATGGGCTCCCTGCTGAGAGCGGGAGGCTCAGTCCCAGGATGTGACGTCCTCTCCCACCTGGATATGATCTAGAAACAGGTTTCAGAGAGATCATCAAGAGCATCATGAAGGAAGGGAAATCACCCTGTAAATTATCCTAAAGGTGTACAGGGATACAGCCTAAGGCTAACACACCCTTGCTTTGTCCCTGGCCATGGGGAAAGCTGGGGGCCTTACTTTCCTATTCACTTGTTTCCCAGAAACTCCAATTCCCAAAAACTCCAGTTCCCAAAACCAATATATTGGAATGGGGAACTCAGGAGGGGAAACCTGGTATGTTCCCCGGTCCAATCCTGAACCAGTTTCCCCATAGCTCATCCTTACACAAAATAAATAAAGACTGCCTGCCTACCACTCTAGGCAGCCTGATCCTGCTGTGGTTCTACCATGAAATTTTTCACTGTTCTGCTGCTGGCCAACATAGCCTCCACCTCTCTCGCCGACCTTCATGGTGAGTGTGGCCTCCTTCCCATTCCCCTTAGTCCCCTAGAAATTAGTGAGTTGTCAGCTGAGAGACATTAACATCGGGAAGCCTTTCTTTAACCCTTATCATGTACTGTATGGAGAGACTGAGAGATTCACAATGAAAAGGCCACACCTGAGATGACTTCAGTATGCAGGGGAGGACATATGACCCCAGGAATCCAGCAACCCAGAAAGCCAAAACTGGATCAGAGAAGCCAAACTGGACCTATATTAGGGTAGACTGTAGACCAATGGAGATTCAAATTCAATCCCATCACCAGAGGGTGGTTCTGGACAAACCAAGAAGAGTCACTACTCCAAACCTCTCTGGGTCCCTCGGTACAATGAAGGAAAGATAAACACACACACACACATCCAATTGCTACTTATTGAGCTCTTACTCTGTTCCAGACATAGTTCTAGGGATTTGGAATGCACAAACAAACTAGACAGAGACCTTCAAGAGGAAGAAAAAATGATAAACATACTAAGTAAATTATGTAGTATAAGAAATGCTAAGGAAAACATAGAGAAGAGTAAGGGAGGTCAAGAATGCTGGGGTGGTGGGTGGTTACAGAGGAATGATTCACATGTTAACTGTATTGAGACCTCTGGAGACTTTAATCTCTTCTTCTTCAAAGACAGAAGATGAATTCCCCTTGGAGACTCAGCATGCAGATACTTGTAAGTCTCACGCTAACATCCTTTAGTGGTTGGCGGTAAAAGTAAGGTCTAGTAAATGATGAATTTTTCATCTGGGGAACAGGTGAGTAAAGACAGTCCTTCCTGGTATTGGTCTTAACACTTCCTGATGCACTAATTGGCCAATATGTGGAGGTCAGGAATCATTTGAACAACATTCAGTTTCCATAGTCATTGAAGATTGGAAGAGGTACTGCACCTCACATCCAAATATTAGCAGGTAAAATGTTGCTGCTCATCCCAAGGCAAGGATGCTGGGGGCCTCATTGGTTATAGACTCTGCATCACCACAACCCCAAAACCATGAACACTGAAGGGTTCTACTTTGTAGGTTATCTGTATACATGGTTTAATCTCAGTCTTGCCTCCCCTAATTTACCTAAGAGAAGCCACTGGAAAATGCAAATGTGAGCAATACTCCAAATTCAGAGGAACCAATGTTAATAAACCCCTCTTATGAACCAGACGATGGGACAAGTGTTTACAGAGTTATTCTCAGGGAAGGTGGGTTTGCTAGGAAAAGTAGAATTCCTAATCAAGAACATTCAAAATCTTGTATGTTCTTTAAGGATTTGGATTCTAGTACAGGCCCTCAATCCTACTTGTAGGTTAATTAGGCAATTTCTCAACCTGATACCCTCCATGTGTTAAGGGACATGATATAGCACTGAACATCTGCTTTTCATTGCAAGCTCTTTCTCTGCTCCTCAATCCCTCCATCTCCTTGGTCCAGCTTCCCAGTTCATTCCAACCAGTCATCCCAAGAAAGACCATGTTTCCAAGGGGGATCTTTCTAAGGAGTCTTTCATCTTCAGAGAAGAGTTGATTTCCTAAGAGAATGTGGTGATTAAATCTACCAGACCAAAGAATCAAAAACCCCAGATGCTCCTCCCCATATTCCAAGAGGACAGGTTCAGAAATGCTGAGCTTCATTTAGAAGAGACCACACAACTCATTCCTGATGCTGGGATGAGCTAGAGAGGGGAAGCAGCTGGGGTGGAACTAAGCAGAAAAAGACAAGGGCGGAAAGCACTTGGGTGGACGTAAGGTGGGGTTAGGAAGGAATCTGTAAGGAAACAAATCAAATGTAAATGATATCAGTGACCCACTGATTGTCAGCACTGTGGAAGGCTGTTGCAGTAATACAGGGAGGGGGTGCGGTGGAATAGACCTTAACTGGATGTTTCTTTCCCAATTTTTCCCAGCAACCACCTCAGAGGGGAAACTAGTCAAGATTGTCCATGAAATCGGGAAGGAACTGCACAAAGCATTAGGAGGACTAATGAACTATGTAGAAGACATAATCCCTAATGCCAATGGGGTCATTAGGCCCTAATGATAAGATGTCTAAGTCCCAGCTGGGCCTTGAGAAGTACCTACATCACCCACACCCCACTCATCTCGACCACCATCTCTCAGCAACTCAAACTTGTGCATTAAAGCATTCCAATCCAAACCCAGTTCTACGGTGGTTTTACTGGGCCCAAGAAGGAAAACAGGAAGACTCCACTCTACCAGTATCTTCTTTCACTACCCTGTCCCTTTGAGTTGAAACCTCTCATCCTCCTGAGCTTACAGGCCTATTCAATTCTTCCTATCCCAAAACATCCTTTGCAAAATCTGGACCTTCTCCACCCTGCCCCTACACCTCACTGATGGACCACCTCTTTGCCTCCTTACCTCCCCCCTTCTCTCCCCCCTCCCCCTGCTGGAGTCTGCCTGTTTCCACTCACCAGCCTGCTGCAACTGCTCTACCAAAGGCCACAAACAACAATAAGCAATCGCTGTTTCTCAGTCCTGACCCCTCTGTACTGTCTCTGTAGGATTGGGCACAATTACTCTTTATAGAATCTTCTTCTCACTAACTTTCCTGAACACTACACTCTCCCAGTTCTCCAAGCTCCCTGTTCCTTTGCAGCAGATTTTTGAGCCATGAACTATATGCTCCTGGGGTTCCAATCCTCTTCTCTCCACTTCTCTTCAGGACTTCTACATCAGCCAGGACTTCTTGGGCTGGATCCCTCCCATTTACGCACTCAATTAACATCCACCAAATGCTTGCAAGGCTCATCTACCCAATGTGTGCTGAGTACTCTGCAACTCTGGACAGTTTTCACTCTAAAGGCACATGGGACTAATCAGGTAAAAAAGTACATGGGATAGCAAGTGTGAGGCCCTGAGTTCAAACCTCAGTACTGAAAAAGAAAAAAGAATATGAGAGAATGAAAGTCTATTTCTGTCTTACAAATGGAAGGAAGTTTGCCCATTGAAGGGTAGATAGGATGGTAAGAAGGAAACCTCTCTGATCTCTAGTGTCCTACCACAGATGAATAATAGACCAAAAGGTGTTCAGAAGACCAACAGAGCAACTGATCTTACTACAGTGCAGGACTGACACTGTCCTGGCCCAGGAAAATCTAGAAGTGAAAGGTGGAGATGAGTAAAATAATCTCCTTCCTTCCTTTGCTTTCTCCTGGTATAGAAAGTAGCCACCCATTCACTTTTTCTAGCTTACCCACCCTCCCCAGTTTAAGGGCACACAACTTCATTAAAAACATCTCTCAAGTTACATGGGAGTTTTTCTCAAACTATAGTTTGAGACATGACAAAAATTCTTGCCAAGGTAACAGAAAAATATGGAGATCAGAGAAGTTTCCTGAGAAGATAGATTATGAAAATTAAAGTGTCTTGGAGACTAAGACATCACAGACTCATCCTTCTCACCTTGCAGCTCAAACCAATACAAAAAATGATGTGAGGCCCATTGCCCAACAGGGATCAAAGTATCCACCTTACTAATGGTTGGGCAGCTGTGCCAATATACCAAAATGCAGGACTTCCCATTTAAGCTGGATACGAGACGTCAGGCTAAAAGGGACTTTTGTGCTCTCAGTCTCCTCCCCCCACCACCTCAGCTGATTCACTGAATGACAGAGAACAGGAGAAGCTATTGCTAGATAATCACTTATAAGATCATCTCCTTTCCCCCAGGGAGGAGAGTATGAATGAGTAAGAATGGAAATGTGGGTAGAAAATACTCCCTCCTGCTCCTCTTCTGGGGAGGGGACATGTACGGAAGAAAGCCCCCATCACAGAGTAGCCTTCTTTTTCCTCAGTGCTATGGGCTTAACTAGTGGGCCTGTGATCTACAATCAGCCACAGGATAGGCTGAAGGGGTGGGAAGGAAGAGACAAGCAGTTCATGAGAGCAACCTCCTACTTGGCAGATATTTGGCCACTTCTGACTAAATGTGACCATATGGCCCACTGGTTTATATAGTTCCCACTATGTGGCATGACCCTATTTCCAAATGTTTTACACATATTTACTTATTTAATCCTTAAAAAAGATTTAAGAAGTTGTTATTCTACTTTCAGATGAAGGAAGTGAAGTGCAGGTTCTCACCACTGTTCTTTGCATCTTCCCAGAATTAGTAGGGTGGCCATGTTACTATTGGCCCCCAAGGCCTCTGAATTGAGTCTAAATAGGACAAAGTTCATTCCAAAACTGTACTTGCCCTAGACTCTACTTCCTCTCTCCAACCAGCTCTGTCATATTGCTCAGTACAGCTCACTTGAGGGCCACAAAATAAGCCTTACATGGCAGAATAAAATAACAAACAGTTCAACACCAGTCACCAAAAATGGCCTATTTTCCAACATAAACTTCCTTCCTAATTTTGAAAGTAATAAAAAGCAAAGTTGAAATATACCCTCTTTTCAGTTAAAATGCAAGGAAATGAAAGTCCAAAATTCCTCCCTTCCCAATTTCTTATTCTGCTCATTCTTAGCCAGGAATCTCACTACAGAAGAATCAGAATATGGCTGTTTGCCTAGGCCTCCCCATTCCTGACAAGTTTCTAATTCCACAAAACCAGGGCTCTAACCCAGTCAGCTGCCAGGCTCTGCCAGAGCCTCCACACCTGAAAAACTTTGTGACCTCTTGGGATGGTCTGGACACGTGGGGTTTTGTCATTGCTCCAGCTGTTTGCTAAAACAAGGTCTGGATGTGAAGGGAAAAATCAGGTACACTCTGTGACTTTGGCTTCCCAAAGCCAGGTAGGGATCAGTGCTCTTCTATCTTCCTCCTCTCCCTGGCCTGGGGAAGTGTCACAACTCCAGACCTCTAAGGTGTGGCTGTAGAAGGGATTTTGATGAGACCTCACAAACCTGAGGGTTAGGAGAATGGGAGCATTCCCTTGGGGTAAGAGGAAAGGCTGCTATACCCAGAAGTAGGGGACTAGCTACATCCTGGTCTATTTTACCTCTGAAATAGTACTTCCTCTAACATCTCCAAAGTTGACTTAACCCATCCCTAAGTAGCTCACAGGTCCATCTTTTTTCTAAGCCAGAGTAACTAGGACACATGGAATACCCTGGCACCAAAAAACTTAGCATATTCTCAGGGTCCAGGGCAATTACGTGCCTAGAACCTACTGCATGGATTTTTATGTGGTTTTCAGTGGTGAGTCATACCAAAGAAACCTTTAAAGGTGCAAGGTATGTATGGCTCCAAGGAGGTCTCAAGCTGTGTGTCTGTGCTGTTTGCAAGCCTCATCTCTTCCATGTTCCTCCATGCGGTCATCATCAGTAGACAGAGTGTGGTAGGTCAAAGGGCAGGAATTTGTCTTGCTTAGCCAGAGCAGCATGCAATTGGAATGGCAAGGTATCTCAAAGATAGTCTCCTTCAAATTCCAAAAGACATGAAGGTACTCTGAGCTTAACAGGAATTGCCTTGTTAATGCCTGGGAATGGCAGAAACTCGGTGGTGTCTGAGAGAAAGGAGAGATCTTTGACTTCACCTCACCAAGATGCTGTCTCTCAGCCTGTGCCTGCTCTTTAGAGTTCTCAGCACATGAATTTAAATCTCAAATGGCAAAAATCTCCCATGGAGGAGCTTACCATTGGAGAGTGGGAGCATGCATACTGTCTGTTCTGTTATTTTGTAATATTTAGAGATTAAAGAATTGCTCCCATTAGCCCCAACTTGACTCAGATGTGGCTACATCCACTTTTTTCGTGCATAAATTCCCTTCAAAGTGCATTGCATCTTCTCAGTAACTGGGTGGCGTGTTTCCTGGGGATGTTGCTTTGAAGTATGTACAATATCCAAGTCCCTCTGAAATCTACCTGCTAATACCTAAACCTCCCTGTCTTCCTCACTCTATGCAAGGGACTATCTACAATAGTTTCTTGGGTCTACACTCCCTCTAGTGGCCTCACTCTGATTTGCATTGTGGTTAAGTCTCTGGGTCCGTTCACCCTCCCTGATCTAGCAATGAATACTCTACTTTTTTCTAGTTCCATTCTTAGAAGTATTTAGGTATGGAAACACTTCCTTTTACTCGTAATGTTGCAGGAATCTCAAGCTGAGATACAGGACACGGAGGCAGTTTAGCAGGAAGCAACGTTTTATTCTGCGGACACAGACCTAGTGGACTCATGTCCAAAGGCTGAGCCCCGAGAACAAAAAAGCCTCACTTTATATACCCTTGCAAGCAGGTACAGGAGCAAAAACCAAAGCTCAACCCACATCTGGCTGCATGTGACTTCGTTGGCTATTTCAGTCTCCCAGTGCTGTGTGACCTTCTTCATGTTTCAGTTCTTTAAGTTTTATCTCTCTGCTTTGCCATCCCTTCCCCCTGCCTCATTACCAGAACACAGCCTGTCTGTTTCTTTTCTGGCCCTCCTCCCTGCTACAGTAATATTATTTCAAACATGGACTCTAAGAACTCAATGTTTCTCCCAAGAAAATATTATCTTAGTAGAATGCTTACCTAGCATGTACAAGACCCTGGGTTTGATCTCCAGCACCAGACAGAGAGAGAGAAAAAGGAAGGAAGGAAGGTAGGAAGGAAGGAAGAAAGAAGGGAGGGAGGGAGGGAGGGAAGAGGGAAGAGAGAGGAAAGGAAGAAAAATTGGTTTATCTTTTCCCTCCAAATCAATCAAGAGAACTGCCTTCTTTCTTTCCTTTACTTACTCTCTGACTTTTCTCACTACAATTCCAAGATTTGTATCTTATATGGACCCCCATAGTTCTGACTTCCTGAAGTCTGAGTAAATCTGATTTCTACAGATATAGAATTTCAGGAACCGGACTTACTCATTTCTCTCCTATCCTTATTTTTCTCTTATCTTCATTTTTCTCCACTTTCACCCCAAATGACATTTCCTCTACAAAATTCCTTTCATATGAAGTCCAACACACCCCTGTGGTTAGTCCCCGCCGCCCATAGTCTTGAAGAAGAGATCAATACATGCACAACTGCAAGCCAACAGAGACCATGTGATAGGAAATGATTCCAGAAGCCTGTGATGAAGCCATCAATGACATCCT